TAACTTTCCCCCTCATGCCTCTGTCTTTCCTCTGTCTGCCTCCTCCTGTTCCTGCCATCTCTGTCCCTTCTCAACGGGACTTTCTCCCTGACAGCTCTGTACCTGGCGTCCTTTGATGACACAGCTCGGCCCCGGGTCCCTTTCCACTGGTTCCCCGCTCGCTGGGTCCTGCATTTCTGGTGCCGGTTGGTACCTCACTGGCTGCTGGTGTCTCTCTCCCAGCACTGGGAGGAAGGGGTAGCTCAGTGGTTTGAGCAGTGGCCTGCTAAATCCAGAGTGGTGAGTTCAATCCTTGAGGGCCATTTAGGGAACTAGGGTATAAATCTGTCTGGGGATTGGCCCTGTTTTGAGCAGGGGGTTGGACTAGAACCTCCTGAGGTCCCTTCCAACCCTGATATTCTATGATTCACTGGGCAGCCTCCCTCCAAACCAGGGCCGGCTCCAGGTTTTCTGCTGCCCCAAGCGGCAAAAAAGAAACAAAAAAAACTGCAGCAGTGCGATCGCACCGCTCCACTCTTCGAGGGCAGGTCCTTCACTCCGAGAGGGACTGAGGGACCTGCCTCCGAAGATCCGGTCGTGCCGCCCCAAGCACCTGCTTCTTTAGCTGGTGCCTGGAGCCGGCCCTTGCTCCAAACTCTACCAGCTGTTTCCACCAGGAGCCTTGGGGGCGGGGGGAGGAGCTGCTGGCTGCTGTCCCTCGCTGTTTTCTATCTCTCCCCATCACAAAAAAATCCCGCCCCAGGCTCGAGCTCCCCCCACTTCTGCTGCCCGGGAATCCTTGGGGGTCTCCCCACAGCTGTGAGCTGCCACTTTGTGCAGCTCCCACAGCTCTTGAACCTGACAGCCCCCAGCCCAGGTGGGCATCACACAGCCAGCCCTGGAATGCAGTCACAGGCTGGGGGCGGGGCCGGCTGGGCAGCCCCTGGGCCCCGACTCCTCTGTATGTCAGCAGAGCCAGGGAAACCAGGGGAGCATCCCCCTTGGAAATCCCCTTGCTCTGCAGCTCCCCCTGGGGCAGGGATCCCCCCTCCCTCTGCCCCGAAACACGAGCAGCTGCTGCTGTCCCTTGCTGGGGAACCCACCAGTGATTCTGTCCCTGCCCCCGAGCCAGGCGTCTCCTCTGCTGTGCCCAGGGCTCAGGGCAGAGCCTGGCTCTAAGTGCCCCATTGGTGCAGAGACCCCCTGATCAGGGGCATGAACAGGAATAAAAATGTGGCCGCTTTTGGAGGGGCACTTTGTGTGCCCCCCGCAGCCAGAGGAGCTGGCTCTGCTCCCCGGAGGAGTTCTGTGCTCCAGCCCCATTGATTCGGGGGGGCCCTGTGCCTGCTTCCCCCTTGCACATGGCCCTGCTCCTGAGGGTCTGGCTGGGGGTGGGGCTGGGAGCGGGGATACTGAGCCGGGCCCCTCACCTGCTACCACCAGCTCCACGGGGTCACTGGGATGTGACCAGATGAACCTGTTTGATTTCTTGTGATAATAGCAGCTGTAGCTCCCTGCGTCTCTCCAGCTCACGCTGTGAATGGGAAACTCAGTCACGTCCCCAGCCGGCTCCATGTCCTGCAGCGCGTTTGGGTTCCCATCTTTGTACAGATGGAACCTCACGTTCTGGTGTGAACCCCGACACCGGATGGTCACGGCTCCCCCTGGGGCGACCCCCCCGCTGGGGCGCAGGGAGATGGAGGGTTTGGGGTAGCTGAGCTCTGCATTGAGAAGGGGACAGGCTGTGAGACAGACCCCGGCACAGTCACCGCACTGGTGGGGGCCTAGGGTGATCAGACAGCAAGTGTGAAAAATCGTGATGGGGTGGGGGGTAATAGGAGCCTATGTAAGAAAAAGCCTCAAATATCGGGATTGTCCTTATAAAATCGGGACATCTGGTCACCCTAGGTGGGCCTCACACAGCCTGCGAGGGAATGCAGTCACAGGCTGGGGGCGGGGCCGGCTGGGCAGCCCCTGGGCCCCGACTCCTCTGTGTGTCACCAGACCTGGGGCAACTGGGGGAGCATCTCCTGGGACAGGCCCCTGCTCTGCAGCTCCCCCTGGGGGCAGGGCCATGTTCCCACTAATTTTTTACATCCATGTACGGAATCAGTTTTGTTATGTGCACAGAGAGGTGATGTGTGGCAGCAGGGGTGGGGCCGAGGGGTTCTGAGTGCGGGAGGGGGCTCAGGGCTGGGGCCGAGGGTTGGGGTGTGGGGGCTCTGGGGTGGGGCTGGGGATGAGGGATTTGGGGTTCAGGCTGCCCCAGAGCTGTGGCAGGGAGAGAGGACTTCCCCCAGCCCTCTCTCGCTGCAGCAGCCCAGGGCCAGGGGAGAAATTCCTCTCCCTGACGGCAGCAGGTTACAGGGAACTTAGGGGCAGAGATCTGCACACCCTCAGCCCCGAATCTCCAGCGGCTGCTCCTGCCCCATGGCTGAGGAACCCCTCAGTGACTCATGTCCTCGCGCTGCCCCTGACACCGGATGGTGACGTCTGCCCCTGGGGCGGTGACCCCAGTGGGGCTCAGAGAGATGGAGGGTCTGGGTAAGCTGGGATCTGCGCACAGGAGACAGGCTGTGAGAGCCAGACCCGGGCACCCATCCAGCCCCGGCCTCCACAGCCAGCCACAGCCACGGGCAGATCCAGGGGACCGCAGGCAGATATTCCCTCCCAGATCCCAGAGTTCCCCCCACCCACAATCCCAGCCCTGCGAGCTGGGCTCCCAGCCCCACAGACACCGAGCCGCAGCTCCCTAGTTCTTGGGAACCTCATATGCCGTGTGTGTCCCCTGCCTCATTCACTGCGTCTGGCCTACCCTGAACACGGAGCGACAGGGCTGTTTACGCTGCAGTCTGGGGAGCTCCTGGATTCCCTGTGGCCGCTGAGCTCTCACGTAGCAGCGTCCATGAGCAGCGCTTTCCCCCAGCTGCGCTGGGCTAGGAGACGCTGTCCCATCCTGGTGGCAATGACCTGACCTCAGGTCACGCCGTCGGCACCCATTGGCTGGACCGCGCTGTGATAGAGCTGGGCAGGAAGCCATCAGCCCTTCGCAGACTCCACCTGCCCCAGACGCTGCAGCGCGGCTCCTCCTCAGCACAGGCTGCTGCGAGGGCACCACGTTTGGCCCCCGCTCCTGGCATCAGCTTCCCGCAGACAGAGTCAAGTCCGAGGTCTCTGCCCTGATCTCTGAGGTGCTCGAGGGCTGAGCCCAGCATTTTCCCGGCTCCGGCTGCAGGGTGCTGCGAGTGCCGGGTGCGTGGGCCCGGACTGGCCACTTGAGGACAAGTCTCCCAAGGCGCCGGGTGCACACGCGAGCGGCTAGTCCTGCCCGGCCATGGCTCCATTGCTATTTTAAGCTCCATCAGAGCTAGCCCGGGTGCCGCACGCCGGCCCCCAGCTGCAGGGCAGACACCCGACAACAGCCCACAGCTCTGGGGGGACCCCGGGGTGACGGCTCCCTGCCTCCGTCCCGGCCACAATCAGGGTCATGCTTGTCTGGGCAGGGGACAGAACTTCCTCTGAGGCCGGGCCCAGGCTGCAGAACGAGCTCCCCCACCTGCCAAGGTCACCCCAAACCTCCCCACCTCCGGCTCCAAGGCCAGCGCCCTGCCCCGGCCAGCCTGCTCCGTTATCGACCCAGGGCAGCGCAGCCATTGACCCCCGAAAGTGCCCCAGACCAGACCCTCCGTGGTGGGCACAGAGCTCCCCCGGGAGAGGACAAGAGACAACGACCCGTCCGTGACAGACGGGATCACATTGCTTAATGCTCGACTGGCAGGCGCCCGACACCGCGGTGACCAGGGCAGTGTCAGACCATGTGCAGTGTAGAAGGCTGCTCCCCCCTGGCTGGGACCACCCCAGTGACTCCGTCCCTGCTGCCTAGCCGGGCGTCCCCTCTGCTGCGCCCAGGGATCAGAGCAGAGCCTGGCTCTGAGTGGCCCATCGGGGTGAACCCCCCCGGGATCTAGCTGGGTGTGGGGCAGGAGCTGCTGGGCTGGGCCCCTCACCTGCTACAATGATCTGCACAGGGTCGCTGGGCTCCGAGTAGGCAGCTGGTCCTGTTCTGTGGCTATAACGACAGGTGTAGTTTCCGCTCTGTTCCCGTCTGGCGCTGGTGATGGGAAATTCAGCCTCAGAGCCAGCAGGGTCTGTGTAAGTCAGATAGTTCCCAACTCCAGCCTTGTAGAGGAGGAACTTCATCCCCAGGTGCTGATTCCGACACCGGATGGTGACGTTTCCCCCCACGGGGATCACCCCACCAGGGCTGACGGAGATGGAGGGTTTGGGGTAGGGCCCCTCTGTATGCACAAACAAACAGGCAGTAAGTGGGGGTGACACAAACCGCATCCGTCTGACTCAATCCTCTGCCCATCTGTCGCTCCAGCGTTTTACTCCCTGCCTGTCCCTGGGGTGCAGGCCCGGCCCCGTGGATCACAGATGGGGAGAGAGACAGAGGACGGGGGAAAGGAGATTTCTAGTCTCAGATTCCTTCAGTTCTCCAGGGTCAATTCAGCCCTGCCCCCGCTGCAGTCAGGGGTGACTCTGGATTGACCCTGGGGGGCTGAAATCAGAGTCACCCGCTTCTGTTTTTCTAACACTGTAGCAGAGCTGCAGTGTGACGAACTGGGACTGTTCTTACTGTGGGCTTTGAATGCTGACAGGGGAGTGTGGCTAGGATAGTCTGCATTGGGCGATGGGAGACTGACCGAGGGAGAATACCTGAGCATGTAACCTGAGAACCCTGGAAGGGGTTAGAGTCCAGGTGACACCTTAGCCCGGGAAACTGAACAAAGGCTGTGGGAGGGGTCACTGAAGGCAGAGTTTCAGGAGCTGGCTGGGAGGCAGACGGGGCTGTGACCTCGCAAGGGGGCTGGGGCGCCCTGGGACCCCAAAATGGAGCAGCTGGTGGTACCCCAGAAGTATCACCGCCAGCTGCTGTGCCGGGCCCATGACATTCCCCTCTCAGGGCACCAGGGAACCTGGCGTACCCAGCAGAGGCTGCTACGGAGCTTTTACTGGCCTGGGGTCTTTGTTACTGTCTGACAGTACTGCGGATCCTGTGACCCTGTCAGAGGGGGAGGAAGGCCTGGGACAAGAGGAAAACGGCTTTAGGACCCTTGCCCAGCACAGAGGAGTCTTTCCAGAGGGTGACCAAGGTAAAAAGGGGGGCTCTGAACCAAGAGAGCCCGAATCACCGACCTCCAGACTGGAGCGCTGGGAGAAGACCACAGCCCAGTTGGAACCCCAGGGGTATTAGGGTGAGAAAAGGGCACAGGCTGCATAAACCTTCCCACATGCGAACTACGAGTGCCACCGAGCACCCCGACCTAAGGGGGGGCGTGAAACTGGAGGGGCCTGGTGTAATTCTCACCAAGGAATGGGAGGGATGCGGGGGCATCCATGGGAACGGGGGTAGATTCGAACTTCCCCGGGTCACTGGCTAAAGTGACCCTGCTCAGTTCAGTCTTGAAGGGGGGAGAGATGTGACGAACTGGGATTGTTCTTACTGTGGTCTGTGAATGCTGACAGGGGAGTGTGGCTAGGATAGTCTGCATTGGGGGATGGGAGACTGACCGACGGAGAATACCTGAGCATGTAACATGACCCCAAGATGGACCTAACTGAGGGGGTCCTGTGGTCTGTGCCTACAAGATCTGTCTTGGACTGTGTCCCGGTCATCTAAATAAACCTTCTGCTTTACTGGCTGGCTGAGAGTCATGGTGAATCGCAGGAAGCCGGGGGTGCAGGGCCTTGTGTCCCCCCACACTCCGTGACATGCAGCTCTGCTGGAGTTGAGCTGAACGTGGATTATTCTTTAAAATA